ATCGTCGTTTTGTGCAAGGGTGGCGCAAGATTATTGCAAAATTTCATGTTTTCCGTCTCGTTTTGCATGTTTCTCGGAAGCAAAATGAGCAAGAACGCTCGTTTTTACAACATTCTAGAGATAACTAAATGGCCTTTATTCGAAGTTTCTCAAGAACCATTCGAGCCACAGAATTCGTTTTGGCATCGTTGGATAGAGAATTGAAAAGTTGGTTCAGTCGTAACAACGTGAGTGAGGAAATTCGAGTAGTTTTCACCCAGAAAGCGAAATTTGAATATCAGACACTAAATAAATTGCCTTTTTAGAAAGTGACCCATCGATCAGAAAATGTTGGCAGTTTTCTCAAAAAATGCTTGAATTCAAGAAGTTTTAGATTTGTGTGGTTTTTTTTTTGAGTTGCAAAATCCACTTGAACCTGACGCTCCATGTTCATAGTTGTGCGTTCAATAAAAAATAGTGTTCAGTCATCGTTAGGAAAATTGTGATCAGGATTTGAAAGAAACTGTTGCGGGACACATTTGCATTGTGTTTTTCGAAAATAAAATTTTCAGAAACGAAAAATTATCTAAAAGATTGAAGTGATGCGTTCAGTAAAGAAGGATGCGCTCTAAATGCCGACAAAATTTCCAACTAATCGTCAAGAAAATTTTGCGGAAAATTTGAAAAAACCTTGATGGACACATTATGCATCGCGTTTTTCGAAAACAAATTTCTCAGAAACGAAAAATTCTCCACAACTTCCGTTGAGCGTTCAGTATAGAACAGTGCCGTCTAAATGTCGTCAAAATTTAAAAAAATCATTCAAATCACATAAAATCCTGCATTTGAGCGCTTCGTAAATGTTGATTTGAAAGAGAACAGTTTTACGCAACAGCAGATTCCCCAATAAAAAATTCCAACTTCCACAGTAAAGCCAGTAGAAGCTTGCAAGATTGATACGCTGTAGAAGACGTTTTTTTTTAAATAAAATTTTGGCGTCAACTTGCCCCTAATGTCTCATATTCAAGTTTCATATGAGTTTTTGTGATAAATCTACCAGAATTTACTCACGCACGTTGTTATAACTGAATCGAATTTCCAATTATCTATGCAATGATATAAAAAAGAACTCTGTGGCTGAAATGGTTCTTCGAATGGGCATTTAAAACTGAACAGGCGAAACCAAAACTCTTCACTTTTTTCACAAAAACATTAAAGTGGAACCCATATTTGCATATCTGAAACCGTTCTTTAGCAAGACACGCTTCAGATCAGGTTGATGTAAAATTACAAAAATAAAGCCGCCCAAAATAACCCAGACACGATGAGTTATAACTCATTAGCGCACAGAGCGGCAGCAACTCAACACAGTGTTACCCATGCCTGTCGTCTAGTGTCTAGCGTCTCGTTTCATGAACTCAACACAACTCAGAAAACATTTTTTAACTTAACAATCGTATCACATCACTTCGTGTCAATTACTCGAATGCTTCTTTTGCTCGTTTATGTCTGATCCCCAAAAAAGACCATTTTCTGGCGCAAAGTGCCCTAGATTTACAGGCGTAGTTTTATTTCGATTTTATAGGGTTTTAACTTTTTAATTTGGCCGCCAATCTGTCGGAACGGGCATTTGCTGCAGAGACCATAAAACGATCATTCAGTCATCAATGAGTTTGATTTTTCCGATAATAGACGACCGTTCCATTTTTCCTGGATAGGGCAATAAATGGAACGTTTATGTGTCTCTATGTGAGACGGTTCAAATTTAACTAGAGTTCGGTCTCTCGGGACATTCGCCAGAGCTAAAGGGCGAGAAGTTAATAATGCAAGAAGTTGGCCGAATTGAAATAAAATATCCAACAAAAAGTTACGTCTTGAGTAATTGTTTATACATATACATGGGGTAAACGTGGATAAGGCTTTTGGAGTTGGCAACAAATAGGTCACAAATACATAAAACTAACTAAAATTTATTTAGGAAAACATACGCATATAAGCAAATAAAGGCGGATTTTATAGTCGTTTTGTTAATTACTACTAGAGTTTTTGCCACAATAAGCTCAGTAAATCCATATCTAAATCGCTACTTTAAGTTCAATGAGGGAAGTATAGCTTTCAAACTTTTTAGGAGAGAGCATGGGGATAATTTTCCTTTCGACGGGAAAGGAGTGATTCTTGCCCATGCGTTTTTTCCTACCGGAATTCGAAACAGCGTCGACGTTCACTTTGATGCCGATGAAAGCTGGACAACTTCTGGAGACAGTGAACAGGGTAAATATATTCAGAATTTTTTGTCGAAAACATGCAAACAGCGGATATAGAAGTCACAAAAATAAGTAGGAAAGTGCGTATAAACGTTTCAAGCCGGCTATCGCTTCGTTTCCGAAATACCAGGTATTGAGATTATATATTTTTGCTTGTTTTTCTTGAAACCTGCAGTTGCAAGTTAAAAAGTTTAAATATGCAAAATAATATAATATAATAAATGTAGTTACCAATTTTTGAACCAAAAGAACTAAACAATGTACCAGTTAGAAGAAATTCTCTACCAAGAAGCAATGCAGCTTCAAACATTAATACGAAAGCCTGCATGCAAAGAAAATAGAAATAATCATTAGAGAAATAATTTGTTGAAATCATCACAATTTTAGTGCATCTATTTATAATTAGACTACGCAAAACTATTTATAAATCGAAACACTTTTAGGATTTAGTCAATTCACCAGTAGTAGTAGAACATGAACGCGAAAAACAGAAGCTGAAATATACGGCCGCGCTTTGTGTGCTTTTTTTGTTCGAATTTAGACAGACTAACCCAATAATCCAGTCGAAAATTCGATTGGAAATTCGGATAGGGGTTACAACTCTGAAAGTTGGCAGAGTAAATGTTGGAAAAGCCGGCCCTCCACGGGTGCACTTTCGAAAAAACGACTTTTAATTAAATTCACGTGAACGAAACTATGTGTAAAGAGACGGGGATGATTGGAAATTGGGCATTTAAAACAACTGCCATTGTCCCCCCTTGGAATCGTTTGTGGACTTTTATAGTTGGTCTTTGCATCTGTAAGAACGTTGTAAAAATTGTTGTTTCGGAGATAATTTTGTTTTTTGTCCCAGGTACCAATCTATTTAACGTGGCAGCACATGAAATAGGACATTCGCTGGGACTTTCTCATTCCAATGTGGAGGGCGCGCTCATGTACCCCTGGTATTCTGAGATGAAGGATGGATTCGAGTATGAACTGCCCGATGATGATAAATTGGCAATACAATCCTTGTATGGTGAGTTCAGTTGCACTTTGCAAGTTTCATGGAAGCTAAGTAGATTTTTCCGAAGGATTCCGAGGAGATAGACAATGGGGACGAATTCCTCAATACCATCCTCCGCCTCAACCTCCCACTACAACTACGACAACTACTACGACTACGACCACTACCAGCCCTCCTCAAAGAGCTTATCCGAGGAGTCGGTACAATCCCAGGTATCATAAAGGAAGGCATCCGACGTACAACAAGTATGATTAACGCGATTTTTGAGCCTGGTTGGGTATTGATTTTGATGTTTCCAGACCGGAGAAGAACCCCTATAAACCGATGAACCCGGAGAAAAAGCCCCATCATAATCATGGCACTCATGGAACTGATAGGCTTTATCCCAACGACAAACGTCCTTATACAGGTAAAAAGTCCGTCTAATTACACTTTTTCACCGGTTTTATCTCACTCACTTTGCTGTTTAACTAGAGCTTCAGCACAATATGTCTTCATTTTTCTTTAATAGCTTTTGCTCCGTTTTAGGTCACCACAATCCGCCAACGGATCCTCCCTACATCAAACCGACGAAACTGGTTCCAAAACATTTCCACACGACGCATAGACCGACTGAAAGGACCGCAACTTCTTCACCGAAGGAATATCCGAACGGTGAAACTCCGCCGGATACTTGTGATACTTCCTACGACGCAGTGGCTGTGATAAGACGCGAACTTTTTATATTTAAAGATAAGGTACTTTGTTTCCTTCAAGTGCATTACATTTTTCTGATGCTGTGAATGCTTCTTCAGTACTTCTGGAGAATTGGAGACAACGGTCAAGTGACTTCCGGCTATCCGGCAGAGATCAATCGTCTGTTCCGAGGCTTTCCCAAGACCCTCACGCATGTGGACGCAGTTTTCGAAAGGGCTGATGGAAACATCGTTTTCTTTGTTGACGATAAGTTCTACTTGTTTTCGGGAGTCAGTTTGGTGCCCGGGTACCCAAAGCCTCTTACCGAACTAGGTTTACCTAACAATTTGAAGAAAATTGACGGGGCGATGGTTTGGGGCCATAATGGAAACACTTATTTCTTTAGCGGGAAAGACTACTGGAAGTAAGCAAACATTATTTTTTGGGCAAGTTTCTTATGACTTTTAAGAAACTTGCTAGAAGCTAAGCGCCAAAATTATCAGTAAAAGTTCAAGAGAAACTAGGTCTAAATCTCCTGATTTCATGTTGAAGGTTTGATGATAACGAACAAGAAGTAGAGAAGGATTATCCGAGAAAAATTCACCCAATGTGGAAAGGAGTCGGGACAGACATTGATGCGGTCTTTCAATGGAAGGATGGTAAGAGCCAACACGCAATTTACACTTTTCTACAAATTTTCTGACTGGCCGACACGAAAAAAACACCTGAAAAAGTACACGCTACTAACACACATTCAATTCAACACTCGAAAGAGCGCAAATAAATACGTGAAAAACACTTTAAAATTCTCAAAATTGCTTGCAGGTAAAACCTACTTTTTCAAAGACAAGGGATTCTGGAAATTCAACGATATCCGCATGAGAGTCGATCATTACGAGCAGAAGCTGTCGGCACCCGTTTGGATGGGTTGCAAACACAACTTCGAACAGAACGACCTCAACCAGAAACTTCCCTACACCGATAGATCGGGAGGATCAGCCCTGAGCTCAGTTAACCAATTGCCGTTCATTTCCTTTGTAGGATTGCTGTTAGCGATCGTTCATTTATTATAGGATACAGTTTGAGGTGAAATTGATTGTGATAAAGCAAAAATTGGGTATTTTTGTAAGTAGGTATGTAAGTCTGTTTTTGTTTGCAGAAAAACTGTTTTTTTGTTTCCCGAAACAGTGAAATGTCATTTAAAGACCAATAAAATTAATTAATTTAGTGCCAAATACTCAATTTAAAAAGTCTCGAACCGCTCATATAAGTAGCAAACTTTTCAGCCTCGATTAATTAAATCTATTTGTAGTTATGCATTTTCCTGTAAAATTAGGCCGCTGTGCAATAACGAAAATCGTCCGATTTGATTTGAAACAATTGGTTTAATTGCCATTTTCATACACATTAACTTACTACGCTTTAGAACTGCACTGATGGGCAAACAGGTTCAACCATTTAAAATCTCATTTTGCATGTAAACAACGCATGCCTATCAGTGTACTAGATATCATTTTTTTTAAGTTATCATAGGGAAACTGACGAAAATTAAAACCTACTAAGTCATTAAGACTGAGCCAGAAATAATACTAACAAGCAATTGACCTGCTTTTCACTGCCTTTTAATTAGCAATCGCATCAAAAATACGTTTGTGATACTCGCGATCGCAAATGAATCTACCATCATGTTCTATGATTTTTAAACTTTAGGCGTTTAATTTCTGTGATATTTTTTATAACCATTTTTTAAAACTTGTATACTTAGCCTGTAGTCATGCGTATCACGAGATTTATTTACTGCATTTGTAATATTAATTTCACCGATTAACTCTGAAGATACACTGTATTGGAAATGTCCTGCTTAGGATATTTTAGTTTTGGGGTAAATTTCTAATTGAGCCAATCAGCCAAACAATCTGGCTTTACATGATTATCAGAATAAATACCATTTCAATTTGTAATTTAAGAACGTTTTAGTTCTTGTACAGAATAACTATATTAGAATTAGCCTTCGCCACTGCTGGTGAGTATTGTAAAACCTACAAGGTTTATAAATAGAGCAAACTTTCTGAATTTAGTGCCCATCAAGTTACCGAAAGTAATTAGCTGCACTAACAATTCCTGGTGATTTTGTGGACTTTTGAAGGGCACTTTGTATGTATATACGAAACCACATATTAGAATATAACATATTTATAAAATCCTATTCATTAAAAAATAATTTTTTAATGACGATTGTTTTTTTATTCCCATGTTATTGATCCTGCTCTGAAGCACCGATTAGTTTTTGAAGATATGCACCGCACTTGGATAAACACTAATAAAAAAGTCTTTCCGTAAAAGTGAAAAAAACTTTATTTTTGTCATTTTCGCTTTTATCCAAACAAAATGTATATAAAACTGACGAAAAATAAGTTGCTGTTTACACAAAGATACAAAAATAATATCAAACAATCGCTTCATGTAAAAAAATATACCGCTAAATAAATTAAACATCGGGAAAACCTCATTCATACCTTGTAAAATGAAGCGTACAATCAGCCTTTTCAATGAAACTAGGTACTTTTCTGTAATACAAAAATCAATCTTTTTTATTTATAATTATTTACAATAAAACAAATTATATTTCTCAGAATATTGTGAGTTTGTAGCAAACTTGAACCTTACTGGTGCGCACTAATTCAAATCAGTTTGTAATGATAAACACTAACAATTTGGCTTCAATAACAAAATCGCAAAAAGTGATCTGTTTGGAAACTGAACAACTGAATATTTGAGACTGAAACCGTGAATAAATCTTAATTAATTTTCCTCTGCCTTAGTATCACACATTTCAATTTAATACAATTTTAACAACCCTATATTAAAGCTATTTAACATAAAAAAATCAAATGAGACACATTCACGTGTTCCAGAATACGACTAAAGATATGAAAAATAGAATATAAACTTGATAAATAATGACTTAGGTATTAAGAGGCAACCCCAGTTCTCGAGATAACAACAATAATTTAAAAAACTAAACGGCCAGTCGCTTTATAAATTCCAATGTAAAGGAAAATGTAAAGCGACGTATATGTTAATCGACTAAAGACAGCAATTTTATTGTAAGGTACATACCCCCGTTGGTTTCATCATCTGTACATTGGAACTCTTACCTAAACTCGTATATTTGTATGGAGTTTTCAGGCACGTGTGTTAGATTTAACGATTGATACCTGGAAGTGCAACATAAATTAACTTTCCCTAATAGCCCAAGAGTAATAATTCTAATAATTTTTAGTGTTGGAAGATGAAGACGAATAATGTTGTCTCTTGATATGCCACGATGAGATTGGTTGATTTAGAGAACATTTTCCACCTCAGATTTGAGCCCAATTGTGAACACCAACACCGCTTACCAGGCAAAAACGACTGCTTTTTCCGCATAAATTTTCAATCTGTATTTTACTCCGTGGCAAAAGTGAAATTAATTTGTCCTTATACTGGAAATTCCAACATATATAATTCGATATCGATTATCAAGACGCCAAAATGAGTACTTTCACAGGTTTGCTTTCGCCTTTAATATCCACAATAAAGTTCAGCAACGAGCCGGATATACACCCACAATAAGCGTTTATGTACGTGGCAACAAACTAAGCAATCATAATAAATAGAGGTACTTACCATTCCGAACTTCTATGGTAGTAATATCCTTCTATAGTGGCTTTGGATTTCTGGAAGCATATGTAATAAAACCCAGCAAACGAGGCGCCGCTGATATCTCGAATCGTGTGATCTGGTACCAGAAAGTGCTCTTTCCACCGCATAAACACATAATCCGCATCACCCAGTTGGGTATAGTCAAAGTTATCCGAATTGAAAGTCTTTACGTACTGATTAAACTGCGAGAATTTGCCCTACAATTCAAAACAACCGTATTTTTGAGTATGTATGTAAGTGAGTAAGTGAGTATGTGAGTAAGTATTTTTGAAAGTGCTGCGTACCCAATGTTTCCTATCGACTTCCTCATCAGCATCCCACTTCCTGGTCAAAAACGGATACTTTTGACTGATGATTTCCCCATCGAAGAATGTGGTAAGTTTGGGGTATTCTTCAGTTAAGCCATTGATTTGAAGATATCCGCAAAGGTACGAGTTTTCTTCATCTACATTCTATGGAAATAGACAAGGGTTTTAGAATGAGCGTTCATTATTGGCTGATGATTCTAAATTATTGATTCGGAGCAGCATTATTCGGGTATTAGCAATGTGAAACAACAAAAAGTTTCTTAGGGCTAGTGATGATGCAAAAGTGACGGATTTGGATTTGTTTTTTTTTGTGTTTTGGGTAAGTTTGATTTTTCTTAATTACGATAAATGGCATTTTTGATCAAGGAATTCTACCTATTAGTAAGTATAGGTTGGATCACAGGGTCGGATTGCCAAAATCAAGTAAACAAGTGTATTTTTCCGGTTTATACGTTCGTCGCATTTGAAACTGCTAATTTTATAGTGTCGGATTACTACGAGGGGCTGAACCGAAGAGATAATATTCTTAGAAACAACTTTTCTAGTGGTGTTTTTAGCGACAATGCGGTTTTCGACCATTTTTCGCGCATCGAAATTCACAACTTTTCCATCTTGTTCGTCAGGTTGGAACATTTTCCGTATTTGCCTTTTCTACAATACACACTTTTCGCACGTATTTGGATTCGTTTAGATCCATTTCTGCACATTTTGTTCTTTGTTTCAAAGTCTCAGAAACTGCCAACACTCGCCAATAAGTAAAATTAGGAATTTTAATAGTCATCAAAAATTTGATGCAAAATCATGTCATGGGGGTCATGTCATCATCCTTTATCTCATGGAAAAGTAGTGACTTTCTATAAGCGAAAAGGGATTGAAAACCATATTTTGGCCAAAAACATAACTAAGAAAAGTTGTTAAGAAAAATATTATCTAATAGGTGAGCACATTTTAGCCAGACATGCCAAGGCCTGATGTCCTTGACAATTGCTAATAAAATAAAGACCTCTAAATACAACAGGTTTTAAACAGCAATTTTAAGCTCCTTGAACACTGCTTGAAACAGCTGAACTGCTCCTGAACATGATTTAGAGGACTTCGCCTCAGACAATCCCATTTTGTGTAAATCCTACAGGTGTAGTACGTGTTTTGAGCGTTTTTTCGAGTTGAAACTTTTCCATAGTGTATATAAAGTGGGAAGATGATCAGCCAAACTATTGTCATTGCTGATAAATGCGGCATTTGAGGCAATTATTCGATATTTATTATTAAGATCCCCTTGAATATAGGTTAGGCCTGTCACTGTTCCGATAACCTATATTTGTGCTTTAAATTTCGAGCGCGGTTCAAACGTTTGCAAATTGAAATGAAAAAGGTTGAACGGTGCCATTTACCTGTAAAACCACCTCGACTTCGTATGAATTTCCTTTACTTTTCTGGAAACCCTGAAATTTGGATCCATTATACAATAAACTTTTGGTTATTCCAGGCTGTTTGGAATTGGCGGGTGGAGGCAATGTGGGATCCACCCTCACCGGCATTCTAGACAGGTACACGTCTGATTTCCAGGCTTCTTTGCACTTTAAATCAAGCAATCACAATCACAATCGGAAAATTTCCACACAAAGTTAAGAAAGAATGACAAACAAAACCCGAAATGGCTTTTCCCTTTCCACTACTAGTGTTGAAATCGAGAACTTTCCCAAAATGTCATGTGCCAACCAGTGGCGTGCTCACAGATTCTTTTTAACTCTTATTGGGCGTGCCCAAGGATTTTCAACTAAAAATAGGACTGATGCAGTTTTGGCACCATTTAACTTTCGTAGTTTTCATAGAGAAACAGAGAGGTCACAAATAAGCACTTTTAGTTAAACCAAACGCCGAAAGATGGCAACGGCTCATCGGTTCTATGGCGAACTCTATCCGTCACTTCTCAAGTAGCAGCTTCTATCGAAACGCCAGCTATATCTGCGGCGTTTCGATTCAAATAGAACTTCGAATCTATGTAATGTTCGAGTTTGATTCAGATCCCTAATACATACCCCTGTTGGTAAATAGAAATTTTGTTTTAAATTAACGTAACCTCAAACTGACTTGCGCATTTCATTTAAGCAAGGAGTCAGTTAGAATATATGCGCTAGTGTGGTGTTGATCAGACAGATTAGAACATACTTGTCTTCATCTATGGATCAGAATTAAAAATAACGTGAAACACTAAAAGCAAGTTGATAGAAGCAGCCAGAAATAACGCTTGATTAAAATATAATTTAAAAAATTGATGACTGGGCAATTTCATTGGACAATTGGGAAAGTAATTTGTTGAATAAATCGTACTGAAAGTGCTCCTTCAAACACTATTATAATTTATTTATCTTCTATTAGGTTTTAACAGAATATAGTCAAATCTTAGAACTAAGTACCTACATTTTATATTCTAAATCTGAAATTAGCTTATTTTATTTAACTATATTACAATCCCATATTTGATAATTTGTTCGGGCTCACTGCTGGAAACAATTTCCAGCCGAAAAAAGTCCCGACAAGTTATTTAATCTTAACATTTGCCTGCCATCTTCGAGCATACCGCATACTTATTTCCAAATCTAACGTATACATAATGATGGACACGTTAAATAATTATTTATAAACCTTTATTGACCATTTTGTTAATACATCAAGATTTTGAAGAACAAAAATCACGAACTGCATTTTTTGCTTAGCGGATTAAATCAAATGAAGTAAACTGAACAGTCACAATTTGACAATTCAATTGAAAATACTGCAGTGATATGTAATATAATTGCTATATATTTAATACAATCTCGAATCACAATATGTTGAAGATTGAAATAATACGCATTTATTGATCAAGTCAAGTCAAGAGTCATTTAGCGTTAAAATCCGAAAGAATTTTTATACACTTTTTGTTCGAATAAATTGATATAATTTCCATAAAAGAAATACATATACGTTTTCTGAGCCATTTGGTTGATGATACGGGGTTTCAGTTAGAGTGAGGACCATAATAAATGATGGACAATTGAATTGACTGAACCGCTGCCAAGCTGCAATTTAGATATTTCCATATTTAATATCGAGGTTTTACAATCATAAATTTAAACATTGCAATTATCGAAAATGCCTCGATTTATCCAGCCTATTTAGAAATATCTAAATTGGTGTAGCAAACAAATCTGATATTTGGAATAATAACATTAGA